TTTTTTTTTGTCCGATTGATTTAGATGAATCTCCAAGGACTTATGGTTGTCACCGCAAGTACCTTTTTTTGGAATAGGGTCAACACAAACAACTATAACTTTGGAAATTATTATTATCTTTTTTTGAAATTCTCGTGACTTCAAGTCAACACTGTCTATAATAATGCCATATTACTACATTTGTAAAATAACACGATTTGATAGCAAAAAAAAAAAAAAAAATTCTGAAAGTTGTCATTTTTTCGTGCCTCTGACTACCCCTAACCCCTTAAGAAAGCAGTTGCCTCTACAGCATTTGAACATCTGGCGGATGTTTTATGCTTTAACAACAACAACAAAATTATATTTGATAAATATTAGTGTTCCTAGGAAGCAGATAATGGAACCGGTAATTTTTTTAACAGGATTTGTTACGGTGATGACTTTCTTATAAGCGATTAAGTAGATTTTTGTGGTTGGAACAACAACAATGGCGCTTTTATATAATATTATGTTTCATAAATTTTAACGTGGCTATGAAACAATGAATGCAACCGGTATTTTTGTTAAAGAAAARTTGTTACTTTTATAGCTTTCTCCTTCGCGATTTAAAAATGTTGTGGCTACAACAACARCAACAATGGCGTTTGGCTTGTACATATTATAACTTTTTATTAATTTTTTTAAATGCTTTCATCATTCTCTTGTTAGCATCTAATTCTTTTGTGTCTGACTTATTATTTTACATTACATTTTTTTACATTTTTGTGTTTCATCTTGCAAGATTTTTTTACTATTTTTCTTTTACCTTTATTAGCTTTTCCTTTATTTAACATATTTTTATTATTTTTTAAGACTTAGCCCAATAGTTATTTTTACTTCTTTAATTTTTGATTACTTTTTTATTCACAATATTTTATAATTTTAAATAATTTTATTAATATCATATATGTATATATTAATTATTTTTCGCTTCTTTTTATTGACTTTTGAAAATTTAATAACTTTTCTTTGATTTTATTTACTCTTTATAGAGTGACTGCTACTTTAATTTTTTTCATTTCTTATTTTTGTTTTATTTTTATTAGCTTTTCCTTTATTTAGCAGTTTTTTATTGGTTATACTTTGTTACTTATACATATTTTATTCATAAAAATATAATTTAGTTTTCATTGCTTGTTATTTTTCTATTTTTATTAATTAAKATTTAATTTTTTATAAAATATTGTTTGGTTTATTATTACTTGTTAACCGTTCAGCGGTCTTTTTTGTATTTTTGTTTTATTTATTTTATGTTTATTTTTCTTTATTTGTTCATTTATTTAATTTTAAATGTTTGTCATTTTTTATTTTTGTTAAACAAGCTTTAATTTTTTAAAATGTTTTTTTCGTTCATTACTACTTTGTTGCCGTTTAAAGTTTTATTTTTGTTGCTTTTATTTTGTTTTAATTTTTACTATAATTTTATATTTTTATTAAGTATTTTTTGTTAATGCATTAAATTTTATGCAAGAGCATAATTGATTAAATTGTATTTTTCTTTCATTGTCACTATTTTATTTTGAATGTT